CCTATAGTTCAGGTGGGTGAATAAGCTGATAGAAACCTAGCTGCAGGTGTATAATCTTTTTTTACCAGTTATACATGTCTGCAATAATACTTTCAAGTGTAGCAAATTTTTTTTGGTTTTTTGGAGAAAATTTTGCCTATCTCAATTTGATCCTGAATTTTTTGTTATATCAAAATCTTTGGTTGGTAATTGGCTGAAATTTTGGAACTGGTTGATTAATACATAAAAGAAAAGTAAACAAGACATATACTCCCACGTGTTTCATGTCATACCATATTATAACTAATAATGCAATTGGATAATGGCAAAAGAGCAAAGTGTTTAGATGTCCTCTTGATAAGAAGTAGCTTGAAGTCTTCCTCTTCTCTTCTTGAGCTAATTTCTTTTCTTCAAGATCAAAGAAGGTTCTTATTAGGCTGATGATTGGTTTAGATAGGTTTTTATTTACTAGCACAAACTTTTCCTTTCCCTTTATCTTCCCTTTATTTCTTAAAAAAATAAAAAATTTTTTTCTCTTAGGACAACAAGGTTGTGTTAAAGTGACAGTCTGAGTATAGGTTGATATTAATCTCTTGAAGAGAAGATTAAAAGTATCTAATTTCAGGAAGGAGCAATTTTATCATTTCCCACAATCATATCTAGAGAGTTAGGATTTGGAAAGTCTAAGATAATTAGTACCATGCAGTAATAGCTTAATAAACTTATTTCCTTGTAATAAAATAATTAGTAAATAGCTAGATCATATAGGCAACACGGTGGTCTTGGTATTAAAAATTCAAGGATTATGTACAAATCTGAAACTTGTTGATGAGTGTTCTGCTATAATAGATAGTTTAGCTATATACAATGCCATATATGGTATTATTGTTTTTCAAAGTTAATTAATAAATTGTTTTTTTATTTAAAATTTATTTATTTTTTTATATAGTAGAATAGATATTAGATATCAATTATTTATTGATATATATTGTATATAATATTTTGATTACATAAAATATTATTTATAATAGCTAAATACCAACCTATTCTATTTTATTACTTTAGCAATACTAATTATACTCTTGAAATATGTTTATATTTTTTGAAAGAAATTTATAATATTTGAAGAGTAAAGGTCTTATTACTAGTTTAAACTAATTTAACTTAATAATTCAATTATTTTTAGGAGAATAATGAATATTTATAAAATTGAAACTTATGTTAATATTCAATAAATTATTTTTTTTATATTATATATTCAACTTATACAATTGTAAATTAAAAAGGAATTAATATATAAATATACTATATTTTCTAATAAATGCTTTAAAATCTGTAATTCTTGATTGATACAAACTATCAAATTTAAGAGCCTAAAGGCCAAGTGGAATATGACTTCAATATTTTTTAGTAGATACTTTAAAAAAATTTGATTGACTTAAGTTGTCAAATCTAGAGACATAAATATTAAGCAGAATATAATTTTTATCTATTGAATAGTATTTTTTAATCATAATATTATATAGGTTGATAATCATTTTAATAATTTTTTTAAAGTTAATTTTACTTCTTTCTAATATAAAAATCAAATAAGATTGGTTAAGATATATATAATTTAATCTATAATATCAAATATATTATTGTTATATAATATGATTATAGGATTTAACTATAATTAGATTAAAAATCTTTTTTTATACTATTTTTTTCTTATATAATCTGTTGCAATTCCATGATTATTGGAAAGATTAAAAGTTCTAATTTGACTTTTTGTGATATATTTTTTGTAACTAGGTGAATTTAAACCCTAGATCTTTTTCTAATAACTTATAGAGTATTATTACTATATTATAGATCTATAAATTATTATTTAAAATTTATTTTGCAAGTTTATTAATAATTATTCTTAAAAAATTTATTAATAAAAGATTTCAAATCCTTTATTGCTTAAAAAATTATAATAAAAAATTATTGTTTTTAATTATTAGAAAATTTTTTTATTTTTTTATTTTTTTAAAATTACTAACAAGATTAAATACAAGATTTTATTTAAACTTTTGTTTACAATTATTACATTAATAATCTTTACATAAATAAATTAATTGTAACTTGTTGTGACAATATAAAATAATATATATAGACTCTAAAAACTCATATGAAAAAAGAAAAGAAGCAATAATAACTAGCTACTAGTTATATTATAAACCAATATATATGCTTGTTAAAAAAAAGAATATAGGTTGTTTGATATAATTAGAAGAATTGAGTTTTAAGTATGTTAAGCCTAGGAATTAGTTTATTGTTATAATATAGTCTGTGGATTTTTTTCATATTAGAGATATTGTTTTCAATATGACACAATTATCTTATATTAATCTTTTTAAGAAGATAGCTAATTACAATTTTTGATATAGATAGAAATTGAAAGAGAAACAAAAAGATTGATTTTATAAAAATTCTTTTTGAGTATATAGAAATAATAATAATGTCAAGTATTCAGAATAGATATATTTGTCTAATATATACTTTTAATCAACTATTTCAAGTAGGACCAATACTTATTTAAACAAAATCTTATGTATATGACCTTTTGTATTAAAGAATTTTTATCTTTTATAACTATTATATCTCTTCATATATTTTTAAACTTTAGTATAAAGACTAATAATTATTGAAAATACTTCTGGCAGTTTTCATATGATCTAGTCACAACTTTTAGTCAAAGTGATTCCATTATAATCTTTTTTAAGTTAAGCTTTTTTAAACAAGGAAAGAGATTTTTGTTAAGAGGTCTATATTTCTTAATGAAAGTAGCTTCAACTTGAGTAAAATATGTACTTGACCAAGATAAAAGTATTAACATTTCAAAGGATTGATAAGATGGTTGCAAAATAAATAAAAAGAAGTCTAAAAAGAAAACTTTTAAGAGAAAGAAAAAACAATTTATTGTAGAAAAGAAAATTGATAAAAGGGAAAAAAAAAAGAAAAAAAAAATTAATTTCTTGTTTGTAATTGTCAGACATATACAGAGCCTTACTACAAAAAAGAATAGCTCCAGCCTAAAACCTTTCTTTTTCTTGTTTCAGACTTCTGTTATGTATAGGTTTGATTAGCTTACACTTTCCTAAGCAAGAATACTTCTTTAAACAGGCCAGATAGTTACTTGAGCCTCATATAGTATCAGCATATTTTAGATTCAAACTGCTACAAGTGCTATATACAGGGGATAGACAAAAAGAATGCGTCATTTTATTTTTACACATTAAAAACTTTTAGATATATAAATGTTTAATAAAATTTTATTTATAAATTAGTATATATATAAGGAAAAATTATTAATATGGAATCGGCCATCCATTTGCCTCAATTACTACATTTACCTTACGAGGCATACTTTCGATTAAATTATGCAATAAATTTTGGGAAAGTACGTTTCATTCTTCCTGGATCATCTCTTTTAATTCTGAAAGATTTTTAGAAAACAAAACCCATTTGTACAAGTTTGCCTTTATAACTGACCAAATGTTTTCAATCAGATTTAGATCAGGACTATTGGCTGACCATAGGAAAGTCCTGATCTTAGTATTAGTGAAAACATTCAGTACCACTTTTGCAGTGTGAACTGGAACATTGTCTTGTTGGAGAATTCCGTTTTTGCACTGAAAAATTGAAGTGAGTATTGAAATTGTATGCTCTCTCAATAACTGTGCATGCACTCTACCTGTAACAAAGCCGGAATGCAAGACAAGTGGTTCACATTCCTTCTAAGCAAACCCAGTCCACACCATGCATCCCTCATTTCAAACAACCTTCGGAGCAAGACAGTCTGGTTGCAATTCTTCTTCAGTTTTATGCCATACATATATATAGGCCTTTCTTTGGAACTGGAAAAAGAGCTTTTTGTCTATGAAAAAAATTTTTTTCCAATCTTTTAGCTTCCAATCTTTCTACTCCTGGCATCACTCAATCCGTTTGAACCTGTTTGCTTCACTAATGAATGGTTTGTAACATGCGATTCGCAACTGAAACCTGATCTTATGGAGGATATGTCTTATAGTTTTAATGCATACCGACTTACCTTGTTTTTTTTCAAAGACTATATGGAGTGCATCTGCTGTAAACTGCCTCTTTTCATTGGTTACAAGTTTCTTAAGGTGTTTACAACCTGCAGTGTTGATCAAGGGAGGACGGCTGATATTTTTTTTAGGAAGTGTTTTTTCAGGGGTTAAGTATTGAGCAAGAATATGACCAATAGTTTTATGATGACAACTAATGGTCTGGGCTATTGCTCAGTTTGAGTGACCAAGCTTATATGCAAAAATAATGCCTCCATGCTGTTTTTCAGTAAGCATTTGAAAAAAAATAGGAAAAATCAGTTGATTTTTTTATTTAATATAAAAAAGTATTAAATAATAAATAAACAATATATAAAATTTTATACCGCGTGTGTCATAACAATTACTCATTACATATAAAATTTTGCAAAAATCAAGACAGAATTGACATCACCAAATATTGGGAAAAAGTGGCACATTCTTTTTGTCTATCCCCTGTATTCCACTTTATAAAGAAAGTAAAGAGAAAAGGAAAGAAAATTTTCTAAAATTATTAGAAAATTTATTGTTTAAAAGCTTTATCAATAAAATTTAAAAGAAATTATATTTTTATAATATATTTAAAACCAATTTAATGTTTTTATTTTAATATTAAAATATTTGCCAATATAAAATTTTATTTATTAAACAAATTTTATAGTAATTTATTTAGGAAAACATAATATACAGTATCATATCGTTATTAACTTATTATAAGTTTAATAAAATATTAATTTTAATACTTGCATTAAACTAAACGTATATTTATTTAAAGCTACAATCATAAATTTTGAAATGAATATTAATGTTAAATTTTTGATAAAACTATTGTAAACCTGGAATTCAATAGTCAAATTAACTAATTTTTAATAATTTTTACAAAATACATAATCTTACTAACGCGTTTAAGTGATCAACTTTTCGCGACATGACACGTACTATGTATAGCTAAGAAAGACATTGGTATGCTTTGTCCTGAGTATCATTTGTTAAGAGGAAAAATGCTATCTTTCACCGTTAAAATATTGACAAAATACATGTGGAAATTTAATTTCACACCCATAATATTAAACCCACAAATCTCATGCTCCTTTATACTTATATTTTAATTTCTCTAAACTCCTAATATCATGTTCCGAGTCTTTAATTAAAAACAA